CCTCCTCCAACAAGGCCATGCCTACTCCCAACAAAACCAGTATTAAGTGCCACTTTCTTTTTGCTCATGGGGGACAATGACATCCAAACCACCATAGCCTCTTCATAGTAAAAAATCACAGAAGATTGGGTAGCTGTAGATCTGGGTACAAGGGCCATGTGACAGACACAGACTGGCTCGTTTTCTGCAATAATTTGTAGCCAGCCTAGGTTTCCAGCTCAAGAATTGCACAAACTTCCTTCCCTGTCAGTCATAAAGTCTGGCTTATTTCCCTTCTGTTTTTCTCCCTGTGGGGAGGGAACCCTAGGTACCTTTGGGACTTTCCCCTATCAAGCAGTAACTGGCAACCTCACCATTACTTAACCATGATGCCTTGAGCACCAGAGTCCAGCACCATTGAGAGCCGTCGGGCTTTCTGCACTATACAAGCCGCTGCCCCGTGCGACTGGAAGCCACAGATGTAGGACTGTCCCTCAGCACGTGGCCAAAAGTAAGATTACCTATGCTTAGAGACCCAAGCCCTTGCGCTGGCACGCTCCCGGGTACTTCCCCTCCAGCATGGAGAGGACATGAAGTTGGTGTTCACAACCGTAGAGCCCTGGATACCTTATTACTTTTCCCTTTTTTCCATGTTTGAGACAGGGTCTCATTCTGTAGCACAGACCAGCCTGCATCTGTGTAGCTCAAGCCTGGAAGTTGAGGTCATTTTCCATTGTTGAGGTTACAGGCGAGAGCCACCACACTCTGCTCTGCTTCCCTCTTCACAGAGGCCCCCTGGAACCAGCTTGCCCTCAGAGCCTGTGGGTGGGCTGCGACGTGTTGGAAAACTGAACACACTTAGCTTCTGGAGAGAAACTGACTGAGGTCAAGTTCACTTTCCTGTATTTCTCAGGGAAAAACACTGCTTGCTCCTACTTTCTAGGAACCTGCATACTGAGATGGCCTCTCTCTGTCCCTCCCTCTTCTGTTCCCTCCTTACACGCGCCCACCCGAGAAGGACCCGGGGGTCCCTGTCATTTAGGATGCCTTAAGTATTCAGAGACGGGGGAAGAGAAGGTGGGTAATGAAGGCAGCCTGTCTGGCTTCACACCCTGCCTCAGCTCTGGCATGGACCACTCATCACTCCCCTGAGAAGCCACTCATCTGCGTGAATGGGATATAGTAATGGAGGCTGTCCTCACAGGGTCCCACGCTGGACAGTGTGAGCATGCGCTGGGCACTCAGAACTGTGCTGTGCAAACCTCCCTAATGGAGGCACCACTAGAAAGATGAGTTCTGAACTGCATTCTCAGTGATGAGACTCAGGCTAGAGGGATCATCCGACGAAGGTCGCTTAATTAAGTGGCCAATATGGATGCCAGCTGACCCTGGTTTAGGCTCACACTATTAAACCACTGTGCCAGTGTCAATGCACAGAACTTCAGTGGTCTAGCCTGGGACTAGCACTCTGTTAAGTTAGCTTCTCTTCATAGATAACCTTTACTGCCTTGACTTCTAGACATTTCTGCATTGATCCTCTGACCCGATAATACATAGACCCTCTTTTGGGTGCTTTTTTGTGTGTGTGTGTGTGTGTGTGTGTGTGTGTGTTTGACACAACACTCTTCAGATTCTATTGCCTCCAAAGAAATTTTCTTTCTTTCTATGCAGGACAAAGCTGGCGTGAAGTGTAGAAAACTTACTTGGAAGTAGCTTTGACCCAAGGTCACTTTCGTTATGACTTAGTTTCCGCTGCTCACTCGTGGGGACCTGCACCGTGGAAGAGGGTGGCAGGATGCGGCCTATGCTCTGTGTGGCTGCAAAACCCAGGCGTCTCCTTCCCGTGTGGAGCCCAGCAGCCTGTGCTGCTCCTCCTGGGAGTCTCAGGGTTGGTGTAAACAGCCCTGTGGTCTTCACCTGCTCTCCTTCTTAAAGCCTTCTTCCATCTGCACGGCCGTCGGCTGGCCTGCAGTGCCGCCACCAGCATCGCCACCTCCCATACGTAGGATGATGCGGACACCTGCCTGGTCTCCCGAGCCCTGCAGGCTGTCTGTGGTAGTCAGTGATTGGAACCAAATCCTGCCCTGCCATCCCGCGCACTCCTCCAGATCTGCTGCCTCCTGATCTCCCACAAGCATGGTGGGTGTGACTCTGTTGTGCCCAGCCCCCCCCCCGTCCATCACAGTCACCCTCTAAGCCGACTCTGGCCACAGCTGTAACAGTTCCCTGTAAAAGTGGGGGCAGGGCACAGCTCTCGGTGGTGTGGGCATTTCTGAACACTCTTTCAAGGGCTGCTCTTGGGATTTCAGGGTCCCCAGAAGGAAGTTTCTCCAGGTCCCCTGAGCCCTCAGACAGGTGTGGCACCACATGTGTGTAATCTCAACACCTAGGGGATAGAGGCAGGAAGATCATCCTGGGCCGTGGAACAAGTTCAAGGCCAGCCTGGAGACCCTGTCTCAAAGAAAAATAAATTAGCTGGGAAGTGGTGGCACACACCTTTAACCCCAAGCACTCTGTAGGCAGAGGCAGGTGCATCTGTAAGTTCTAGGCTAGCCCAGTCTACAGGGCTAGTTCCAGGACAGCCAACGTGACACAGAGAAACACCGTCCCAAAACACATAGATAGATGGATGGATGGATACATACATACATACATATATACATACATACATACATGCATGCATACATACATAGATGATAGATAGATACATAGATAGATAGATACATAAACCAAGGTATTTTCTACAGGCAGAGTCATGGTAACATGATGGCCTACTCAGCTTTCCTTAGGCAGTGTTACTTTGTGTGCGAGCTTCAGAGTTAATGACATGGGAGTGTGTGTGTGTGTGTGTGTGTGTGTGTGTGTGTGTGTGTGTGTGTGTGTGTGTGTGTTGATGGGGGAAGCCCAGAGTCTCATGTATGTTCAGCAAGGACTCTACGGATGAATTTCAGCCCAGCCCTGGCATTAAGACCCCTTGTGCCGCCTGTCTGACCAGCAGCTCCCCTCACCCCTTAAATGCTCCTAGACCCTTAGCAGCCCTCCTCATGCGAGGCTGCACACTTTCCTAATCCTTCCCTTTTTGTTAACTTGTATGGAAAGTTGACTAATTTGTTCTCCTTTGGACTACACATCAAAAAAAAAATGTTCCCGTTTATTGAGCACTTGCTGTGTGCACGGGCGCCATGCAAAACACAGTCCACAGATGCTTCTGTTTGGTCCTTACCCCTCCTTGGTGATGTGTGGGCACTGTTGTCCCATTTACAGAGGACAAATGGAGGCCGAGAAGCTAAAGCAATCGTGCACAGTCACACCACTGTACCCGTGTCGCTCGAGTTTCAGTTCTGGAGTACATGCACTCAGCCAGCAAGTGTCTCTGTCACTCGCAGCTTTTGTGGCGGTCGCTCTAAAACTGCCTTTCCTGTGCCTGTGCTCTGAGTGGACTACAGCTTTGACTTTTAAATCCTGTCCCGACTGCTTACTGTTTACAGTGCAGATTCAAAGCCTGCCAGGCAGTCACTGTGGTGTAGCCTAGCAGTCAGGGTGGGGCTGCCCTTTGATGTGTGCTTTCCTTTAAAACAGTGCTCCCTTCCGCTTTTTCTGAACTCTCTCCGTCACCTTCATCCAGTCGGTGTAGCTGTATCATCGCTCCGACACATTCATCCAGTCCTTCACATTCATCCTGTCGGTTGTTGTAACTGTATCTAGCGACATCTCTCCGGCACATTCACCCGGTTGTTGTAACTGTATCTAGCGACTGTTGTAACTGTATCTAGCGACTGTTGTAACTGTATCTAGCGTCATCTCTCCGGCACATTCACCCAGTTGTTGTAACTGTATCTAGCGACATCTCTCCGGCACATTCATCCGGTTGTTGTAACTGTATCTAGCGACATCTCTCCGGCACATTCATCCAGTCGTTGGTCGTTGTAACTGTATCTAGAGTCATGCTTGGAAAGGTAGCACCAGGTGTGGGATTCTCGTGCCGGGGTCTGTCCTTTGTTCTGCCCTTTCAAGCCGCAGTCACCCTGCCTTCTGGGATGGCCCGGCCGCTCCGAGGTCCTGCTGGGAAAGAGTCCTTCTGGACTCAGGTTTATCTGGCTTCCCGCTTGTATCAGGTAGCCTCAGCCCAGGGGCTTCATCACTGGCTCCATGTCTGTCTTTGTCCCCCCAACTTCAGGGTGATAGCAACTTCCTGTCCCTCCAATCTGGGACCAAGTTACTGCCAATGGCCTTGCCACCACCTTGGTACTCTGTTCTTATAGTTGAACTTTCTATTCTCCAGGATGGACCTGGACTGGATACCATGTAGCCCCAAGTGTAATTGCAATACTTAGCTTGCTTGAGAGATTTAGACAGTGGATATTGTCACTGGTTAGAACCCTAGTGCTCTCTGTGGCAGCTGTCCTGTGTGCTGTTGGTCTCTGAGGGGTCAGGTAACAGATTATGGAACAAGCAGACCGGGTCCATCTCCTCCACTGGAGAGAGCACAGAGAAGTTCTTTCTGATTCAGAGTCAGCAGTGATCTTCACTCGTGTCCAGAAAGCATGTGAGCAAGGACCAAGCTGGCCCGTGCCGGGTTTCACTGCCCTTTCTAAAGGAATGCTTTAGGGGCTGGAGAGAGGCTCGGCAGTTCCATACGATTGCTGCTTCCACAGGGGGCTTGGGTTTGGTTCCCAACACCCAGGTCAGATGGCTCTTAACCACCTGACTTCAGTTCCACTACCTCCCACACCCTCTTGTGGTCTCGGTATTTGTGTGCAGAAGCACACACACGCTCACACATGAATAAAAATAAATCTTCTTTGTAATGGTGACGTTTTATTTGTGGACCCTGGGTATAAGAGCAATGGCCATGTGATGGTCATCTGAGACAACTCGCCCTCTCTTCCTCAGTTACAAACGTCATTGAAAAAATACTGCTCTATCCAGTATTGTGTGTGTGTGTGTGTTTAGAGCCACTTGCGCTGGATGTCTTAAACAACTTTAATTTACTAAACCTCACTCTTCCTCCCCTACCCCAGCCCTTTCTTTTCAGAAGACACATTTAGACAATCACCATTCACCTCCAATTCAAAAGATCTGCTGCCGGGAGAAGCCATGCTGCACGGAAGAATACCGGCTCCAGGTAAGGACACATTCATTGTTGACTTGGCTTCCGCCGCCGGGGGCTTGCGAATGGCTTTTCTGAAATGTGTTTTCAGATGCTCGCCGCTTAGGCATTGCAGCTATTCATGTGAAGGTGGGTTTTAGAAAAGACAGAGAAATGCCTTTGAAACTGCCACAAAAGTTGACTGAAATAAAATGCAGGCGATGGTAACTCCTTTATCTTTGTTTCAAGATCTGGTCATCCCTTTCTTGCTGTTACTTTGCCCATTTGTTGGTTTGCTTTCTTTAAAGTAGAGAACTCTAAGTTAAGGGAGATGGCATGTCAGTAAAGTGCTTGGTGCACCATCATGAGGAGCTGAATTCCATCCCAGCTCACGCACACCCTGACGTACACTGCTCACCTGTCGTCCCGGGATGGCACAGACAAGGCTGGGGTCTGTTAGGCAGCCGAATCCAAACCTCGGCTTCACTAAAGACTCTGTGTCAAAAACAAAGGTGGAGAGCAGGTGAAGAGAACGCTCAGTGTTGAGCTCTGGCCTCTGTGCATGTGTGTGTATACACATGTGTGTGCGTGCACACGCACAGGGGAGCTGTAACCTGAAAATAAATCTGCCGTGTATGTTGTCGGTATTTCAGGCAGGCAGCGAGAGCTGGGAGAGGCTGGGGTGAGAATTAGCTGCCGCAGCCTGTGGCCTCCACAAACATCTCTGGGACTCGGCCTGTCCAGGAGACCTGGCCCCCCTGAATTCCATTTCTTCAGCCACTGCACCTACCACAGCCACCATCTGACCCTCCTGGCACTCTCCACCCACGTGCACTTTCCCTCCTGTCCTTCCCTTCCCTTTTCTAGAGTAAAAGAGAAAGTGTGTTGTCCTTTTAGCATGGCACAGCTGTCCCTCAGGACTCGTGCGTGCGTGTGCACGTGTGCACGTGTGCATGTGTGTGCAGTATGCATGTGTGCACATGTGCGTGTCTGTGTGTGTGTGTGTGTGCTGTGCACAATTGTATGGAGCACTTGAGGACCACATCTACCTATCCCTCCTCCCCTTCCCCCATCATCCATTCTCTTTTAGCCGTTGACAGACACTCAAAAGTACCACATGTGTTTGTCCTGGGAGCAGAAGGGGATTCTGAGAGGCGCTCCTCTCTCTTTCTCTCTCTGTCTCTGTCTCTGTCTTTGTCTCTGTCTCTGTCTTTGTCTCTCTCTCTCTGTGTGTGTGTGTGTGTGTGTGTGTGTGTGTGTGTGTGTACAGGAAGGGCTTCAGACAGGTTTATTGACCCTTTCCAGAATCAAGTCCAAGTCCTGCACACCCCCAGGATCCCTGCTTCACAGAATGGTGAGAGCTGCATAATGAAGATAAAATGTAGCAGAGTCAGTCGCTTTTCTGATGGCTTGTGAGGGTGTCACAGTGCGTGCCAAGCAGAGGGGAAGTCGAGGCCGTCTTTCCTTAACCTTGCAAGTTCATTGGCTCTGTAGGTGGGGCGTTTCTGCTTGGTGTCTGGAGGGAGCGCGCGCAGGCAAGAAGATGGGATGTGGTGATTGGCTGTAGGATGGAAGGGCATTCTGTTTAGTTTTCTGTCTTCCTTCTCAGGCAGGGTGTCTTGGAGCTGCTGTCACTTCCTACAGTGTCATTTGAAAAGCTGTCACCCTGGTCCCCCAAATTATTGCCCTGCTGTTAAGCTGATGGATTGTGACTTTCTGATGTCAAAGTAACTGCCCAGGGATTGCCTGTCAGAGTGCTGTGACCCACACAGCTACTATCCCATGATGCATATATATAAACCCATGTTGTTGCATCACATCGGGCTTAACTGTGTTTAAAATCTGGAGGGGTTTGGAGGACTCAAACTACTGGATGTTTAGCTGTGCAATGTGCATGGGGGCCTTGTGTGGTGATAGGTTCACGTTACATGTTGGATAAACTTACACTTTTAAAGCTAGCTCTTATTTGGAGGTAGATGGGGTGAATGTCGTGGGAATTTTAAACATGCAAATCAACCCTCACAAAGAATAATCAACCTGCCGTTGAACAGAGCCCTCTTTAGGCACCAAGAAACCAAAAGATTCTTGCGTTTTTACATTTTGCCTAAGTAAATGAGGAATTTTGTTTTTGGTGTGGAAGGTGAAAATACTTTGGAAACAGATTTAAAATGAAAAGATTTAAAATATCAGGGACATGCGATCATGAAGCTCTCCTCACTGAAGACAAGTACTATAAAGAGAGCCCCAGTAGCCCACTAACTGGAGAAGACCAACTTGGATGAACCAGAGTTTGCAGCGAGGAGACACTTAAGGAAAACACACTTCCTTCAAGTCTGGACAAATGCCACTGTGTCCTTGTGCCGGCTCCCTGGAGGAGGGCTTTGCTTTGGCTCTCCGTCATGAGCCAGGTGCGAGGGGCAGCTTGGTCTGCAAGGCCACTGAGAAGCAGAGACAGGAGCTCTGTGTTCAGCTTTCCTCCTTCCCCTTTCCCCCTTTTTACTCAGTGCAACTCCCAGACCACCAGAGGCCGTTGAGTGACATTCAAGGTGGGCATTGACTTCTCAGCGAATCCTCTCTGATCTTGGCCTGATAGGCACACCCAAAGGTCTGTCTCACTAATACCCACAGTATTCAAAGGTGCCTCGGCACACGAGTGACGCGCAGAAGGCAACTTGCAGGAATTGGTTCTCTTTTTCCACCGTGTGGGTTGCAGGGATCAAACTCAGGTCCCCAAGCTTGGCACTAAGTGCTTTTCCCCATGGAGCCTCTAGAGGAGGTCTCAGTTTGGTCAAGTTGAAAACAGGAGATAATGATCGTAGCCACCAACTAGAGTTTTTGGATGAACTATTTTTAAATTATTTATGTTTATTTTATTTGCGTTGGTGTTTTTGCCAGCATGTGTATGTGTGTGAGGATGTTGGATCCCCTGGAACTGGAGTTACTGACAGTTGTGTGAGCTGCCATATGGGTGCTGGGGGTTAAACCGGGGTCCTCTGGAAGAGCAGCCAGTGCTCTTAACCACTGAACCATCTCTCCAGCCCCCTGAATGAACTACTTTTAAGTCTTCCCCCATTAGAAGTCTGTTTGCATATGACGAGCACAGAGTCCATGTATTTGTCACTGAAATGTCAAGTAGTGAAGTCCTGCTCTCTTGCTGCTGTCAGACACAGTGGTGTGCATCATCTCACCACCCTGAAAACAGGGAAGTATGAGTCTCACAATACATCTGACCCAAGGTTGTCACATATTCTCAGGTCACACTCAGGCTCACTAGATCAGTTCTCGGAACAAAGAGACAGAAGCTCCGTCTTGGAGGATCTAGAGTGAGCTGAGGGTGCTTCTGGGCAACCCCAGATGACATTTGAGCAGCAGGTTGGTGAATCACTGGGGGGGTTTAGGAGGAAAGCTAGACAGGGTCTCACGGCATCCTAGTGAGAGACTGGATAGAGAGAAGGGAGGAGAGGCCAAAAATGGACTGATCTGGGAGAGTGATGCTCTGCAGTCGGCGGGTTGGTGTGGAGACTGCAGGAAGCCGCGCAGAAAGGGGGGCTGGTGGGAAGGAGATGCCGATGGGCAGTCAGGGATGGCTGTCTTTTGGGTCTGTCTTTTTAGTGCATGGCATAAAGTAACTTGTCTGTGTATCAGTGAAAGTGTCGCCATTCTTAGAAACCTTCTTCTAGGTCATTTAAATGTCTCCATTAAGATATTTCTACTCTTTAATTCTTTAGCAAACTTATTCCTCAGGAAATACAAGATCAGTGTCAGCCCTGTAGATTTTTCTTTGATTCCCAGTGGTGAATGAGGCTCAGTGTGGCCAGTGACAATCCACAAAACCCCTGGTACATGCAGCAAACACAACAGTATTTCAACAGCAGACCTTGGTATATCGTTCTAAACTGCCCTGGTTTGGACCTGAAATGCCCTGGGCGGCCTGTGTGTGTGTGAAGGCTCGGTTCTCAGCTTTGTGGTCTGGGGAGGAAGGAGACTCTTAGCAGAGAGGGCCCAGTGTTAGGTCAACGGAGGCATGCCTCTGCAGGAGACACTAGAGCCCCGGCCCTCCCGATTTCTCTTTGCTCCTTGGCTGCAGTGGTGAGATAGTGCCAAACCCAAGCTCCCACCGTGATGTTCTGTGCTGCCACTGCCCCAAGGACCCCTGACAAGGTAAGCCACAGCAAGCCTTTCGCCCCAGTGAGTTGATTTTCTCAGCCCTTTTGTCGCTGTGCAGGATGACTAGCACATATGCATTTATTGGTGAGATTAAAATCATTTTCCAAAGCTTCCCAAGGAAGGCTACAGAAGAGCAAGGGGCGTGCCAGATGAGAGAAGCAGTAAGTGCAGAAAGCTGTGCCAACGGCTTCGTGCGTGTGGCTGCGTTTGGGGCAGTGGGTGAAGGTAGCGGAGAAGGGTGAGATTGGTAGGAACCACGGACTGTGAAGAAATGGAGAATAGCACAGTAGCTAGGCATTTGCCTTCAGCAGGTGGTATCTGCAGTCGCAGCTGTCACCATCTCAGAGACCCCGAGTAATAAGCAGAGAGCCTCCCAGTGCCTTGGCCTCCGTTGTGCCTGTATTTCTAGACTGAGAGCCAGACCCGATGTTCTCACCTGCTGTGAGCGTCTTAGGCAGAGGTAACATTGGGAATCCTTAGTAATCATGAGATGAAAGTCATTGTCGCTTTATGCCAGAGCGGTATGGGCACATGGAACCCCTAAAGCCACGTGTGGATCCTGAGTGTGTCCTGGGTGGGGTAAAGGGCCTTTCCTGTGCGCCGTGAGATGGAAATCACAGGTGTGTGTGACTCGGTGTACTTTGCTGGTTTAAAACGGCCTCGCTTGTGCAGCATACAGAAGGGAGGCTCTGGAATGAGGTGTTTTCCAGAGACCTATTACAGTCAGAACTGCCTCTGTTTGTTTGTTTTCCCGCATCATCTTGGAGTGAGCAGGAGCCATTCAGGGAAAGCCTCAGCTCTGCTTGGAAGCAATGTGGCGCTTCAATTCTGAATTATTATGATTTTCAAATCACAGCAGGATTTACTCT